CCACTTCTTCCCACAAATTTGAATGGCCTAAGAAACCGTATCACAGCTGCGGTGAACTCAGTGACGCAAGATATTTGTCATCGAGTGTGGGATGAATTCAGCTACCGTCTAGATGTTATCCGTGCAACCGGAGGGGGCACATTGAACATCTATAAACTTCCATGTATGTATAATTATACATACATGGAAGTATGTAAATTACATTTGATTATAATCAAATGTAATTTACACAATTCAAATGGAACATATAATTCAGGAAATATAGCCAATTGAAATTGTGTCCATCTTTCTGAATCACCCTGTATATCACTGTCATCAATTTTAGTGCCAACTTTAGCGGATAGAGGGTGTCGCGTGGTCAACGCAACGAATCCCCACAGCCGGTAATTTCGGTTTTCTAGACCGCTATTCCTTTGAAATATCTCCTCAGTTTTCCTTACGAGGTTGAGTGAACCTCGTTCCAGACCCACTATTTTTCATAAAATCTGGTAGCGCCAGGAATCGAACCCGGATCTCTAGAGCTGTAGCCAGAAACTCTGGCGCTAACTTCACCGACAAGCGGCGGTCGCTCGGTCGATATAGTTATCTTGCGGAATAAAACCACGGAGTTTTGTTTTTTAATCACTGTCATCATCTTACGAGATTTTACCCAATATCTTTCTTTCAAGGTTAAATCCATACATAGACGACATTACTGAGGACCATCAGTGTGGGTTGCGACGTAATAGATAAACTATTGATCAGGCGCTTTGCATTCATGAGATCCTAGAAAGAAATTGGGAATACAATAGAACAGTACCTCAGCTCTTCGTGGTTTTCAAGAAAGCTTATGATTCAGTTAAGAGGGAATTATTGTATAGTATTCTCCTTGTGTCTGCCGGTCACGGTAGCCGAGCGGTCTAAGGCATGCACTGTCTTCGCTCGCTCGGAAGCCGGGATCGTGGGTTCGAATCCCACTCAGGGCATGGATGTTTGTGTGCGTTTTTCTGTGTTTGTCTACAGGTAGAGGCCTTGCGACGAGCTGATCACTCGCCCAAGGAGTCCTACCGAATGTGTAAGATCTAGTAAACCGAAGTAAAACGGAGAGTTTCATGGAGGTAGGCCTAGGCCCAAATTGGGGCTGTAGCGCCACAGAAAAAAGAAATTCTCCTTGTGTCTGGTACACCCATGAATCCAGTAAAAAATAAATGGTGAAGCGCTTCCTTTATCAGGCCGTGAAGGCCCATGGGTTTGCCAGACGTCGAGGTTCCCACATTTTCTAGACAGTCGGCTTACAGATGGCGGAAAGGTTGTCAGCCTTTGGCGCAGGCCGTTCTTTACCCCGCCCCCACGAAGATTTCTGGTACTCATTTCTGACTCAGACTGAGTCGACCTCAGGACCATAGTACTGCTGGAAAGATTAGGTAAATTTAAAAATCCAGTAATCTCATCGGGAATCGAACCCGTTACCTTCAGGCTTTGTAGCATAGTTCCTCAACCAATTGGGCTACCGCATGCCCCCCCCCCTCATGAATCCAGTTAGGCTTACTAAAATGAGCTTAAATATAATCTGTATTGCAGTCTTTATAGGCAAACACAAGAAACTAAGTATGTTGATACACAGTCACGTAAGGAAAAAATCATGATACTATAAAGGTAACTAATCGATCCTTTGAAAACGTGGCACAGTTCAAGTTTTGGAAACAACAGCAACAAATCAAAATTTTATTCAGGAAGAAACGAAGAGCAGATTAAATTCAATTAGTGCTTACTAACATTCAGTGCAGACAGAGCCTTATGTCTCACCGCCTGCTGCCTGAAAACATACAGCTTAAAATATACTGAAATATAGTTTTGCCTGTAGTTTTGTATGGGTTTGATACTTGACCTCTAACATTTAGGGAAGGACATAGACTGAAGGTGTTTGAGAACAGGGTGCTGCGGAGAATATTTGGACCAAAGAGGGATGAAATAATGTGAGGTTGGAGAAAATTGCATAATGAGGAGCTTCATAATTTGTACTCTTCTTCAAATACTTAAGTTTAGAATGATCAAGTCAATAAGGTTGACATGAGCGGGGATTGTAACATGAGTGGGTGAGATGAGGAATGCATATAGGATTCTCTTGGGAAAACCAGAAGGAAAATGACAATTACCAAGACCTAGACTTAGGTCAAAATATAATATAAATTGAATCCTAGATATGTAGAATAGGACGCTGTGGACTGGATTAATTTGGCACATGATCAAGACCAGTGGTGGGCCCTTGTGGACACGATAATGAACTTTGGGGTTCCATAAAATATTGAAAATTCTTGAGTAGCTAAACGAGTGTTGGCTTCTGAAGAAGGAATCGGCTCCATGGAGTCAGCTCCTTTTATCTGTTCTCTGCGTCAAATGCATAAATGAACGCACTATGGAAGGATGTATCTGCCTGTTTTAAAATTTCATTGCCGAAACTGTTTGATTGATTTCGGTTAAATTTGGTCCACTAAGTGTACAGTGAAATAAAAAATATGGAGGTTAATCAGAAAAATGAGTGGTTACTGGCTGGAAAGTCCGATTTGTATTCATTTTATACGCAGGAATGGTTTATTTCTTGTCATCACTGTGTTCGAACCAGTTCTGGGCCCACTCAACGTCCTAGCAAATGAGTGCTAAGTGGATCTTTCTTCGGGGCGTCTTCCTAACACTCACCCCCCAGCCTAATGTTAAAGCTAAGAATCTGTGAATATTGCCATGTTCCTTGCAAGCCAATTTTTCTATGGCGTGGTACTTTGACACAAGGCCAACTTCACCTTTTCACCTTTCTCCATACGTGATTTTGCTGCATCTGCAGTTTGCTCTGCATGTTGCTTCTTGCTGTCACGGAGTAATAAATTAATTCAGAAGACAACTGAAACTCTGTGTACATTAGAATTTCATTGTTCAACTTATCACACAAATCTATTAAACGAAACGTTGTTCTGTGCTTAATTAAGAACCAAGTCGCATGATGCAGGCTCATAGGTTCACGCAGTCTTATCCTTGGCACTACATAGAGGTGAATGCTCAATGCTTTACCCCCGGTATTCACTGGATATGCGACCAGGTGGATCCAAGTGCATTCATGGACTCGGTCTGTCCTGTCTGATATCCACAGGTCACATGTGCAACGTAACCAAATTATGCTCACTGTGATGCGCAGTACGTACGGAGCCATTAGGAGCACCTCACATTGTGTATTGGCACTTGTCAGCTTACTGCACAACGAAATCACAGCCTGTCACCAATGACATCGGTAGTACCGTCAAAGTCGCAACCTCCACGCAGTTTCAAAAGTTACATATGTATACGTAATTTAATGAAGGCTGACGCCTTTGAAGAACTGGTTTTCTCTCTGTTCACAGTGGAAGTAGAGGGTTTGCCTGCGAAGATCGAACTGGAAGAACCGTGTTCTCGTGCGGGTGGGATATGCCTTCAAGAGAAAGAGTGTCCTACCGGTCGTCTTAACGCCGAAAGAGGACTCTGCCCTCTGCAACAAGAAGCAGGAGTTGAGTGTTGCCATGGTCGTAAGTTGAGACACAATTTGCTGTTTGAGACCCATAGGTTATAAAATGTTACAAACATGGCCATCGTCGGTGGGGGTGGGGGAAGAAATCCAGACATCTAAGTCCCTGGTTTTTACGAGGAAAATAGGTTTAAAAATAATTAAATATACCAAATATTAATACGGAAAATAATTTTTTAAAAATTTTTCTGTTGAGAATCCGAAAAACTTTTAGTACGAACATAGTTCAGTTTTTTAAGTAGTAGAATCAGAGATGATTTTCTTTTTCGTCACTACTCTGTCCGGGCACTGCCCTGAGCTCCAACGCGTACTAGAGGCTCTTTCCTAAGGATTACAGCAGCCGGACTGCGAAGCTGCCCATGTTACCTTAGTTTATGTTAAAATGATTGGAGTTTTACCTCCATTTCCTTACATGTATTCAAGGCATTGTGGATGGCTGTGATGTTTAATAGAATTTGAGGTTCTCGCAGCGGTAGCTGTGAAGAGTTCTATCTACTGGAATACAGTGCCATGTAGTCAGTTGAGAATCAGCCAATTTTTGGAGGAATATGCAGCCTTCAGCTTCGGAGTCGTAGAATACCCAAAGCAGAAGACGATAATGAAGGGGAGCAAGTTGAGCTGCTTTCCCTGAATATGTAGTGCTACAGGACTATATACACGTGTATATCTTCATGTTTTGGTTGCAACTTGTAGTGATTATTTAGTGAAGCTCTGTCATACAGTGGCTTTCACCCTATTGTGTCGTGGCAGATGCTTCAGCCTACCTCATCCTAGCAGACACGGTTATGTCTCTTAGTATATCGGAATCCTCAGTATTCGTCGGTTTTAGGAGTCAGTAAAGGAAACGAAACTCTTAGCGTCACTTGTGCTCTAAAAATCGGGCGCAATCTACTGTGAAGACCTGACGTATGAATTGAATACCTCATAAGGTCTACAGGTAAAGCTATCCCTGTAACAAGCCGTGGAGGCCCGTAGGGTTGTGAGACGTCAAGGATCCCACATTTTCAAAAAAATCGGCTCACAGATGGCGGTAAGGTTGTCAGCCTTACCCCCAGGAAGACCTCTGGCACTCATTTCTGTCAGAGGCTGAGTCGACCCCAGTAGCCTTAGTGCGGCTGGAAGGATTAGATCCCATCACCTCGTCAGGAGTCGAACCCATGACCTTCCGGTATTTAGCATAGTGCCTCAGGCAACTATGCTACCTCGTGCCCACCTAATTAAGTCTATACCTTTGTAATAAGGCTACCAAGATTACAGTCCTGTTTCCGAATCTAATCTTCAAAATAGAACCACAAGGTCGAAAGTTGTACGCTGCGGCCAGTGAAATAGGGTTGTTGGACGTACGAACATTTCTGACTGTCGCCTGCTGGGTTGTAACGCTATATAACCTTACAGGTGGATGCCAACGTTTCGGTGAGTCGATGTGAGGAATCTGATGGGTCATGCAGGCAGGCGGTCAGGACACTGATTATTCAGATCCACGGGAGGGGATCCACATTCCTTTGTCTTGGCGACAACCTTCTTTACAACCTGTTTACACACTTTGATTCTGAAGTTGGAGGGCGCATGTTCCTCCGAAAAGTTGATATTGACCTACCCAACTATACGTTGTTACGCTCCAGAAGACCACATTTTTTTTCCTTGGCGCTACAGCCCCAGTGGGCCTAGGCCTACCTCCATGAACTTCTCCGTTCACTTCGGTTTTTCTAGATCATACACATTCGGTAGGACTCCTTGGGCGGGTGATCAGCTCGTCGCAAGGCCTCTACCTGTACACAAACACAGAAAAACGCACACACACAAACTAAACATCCATGCCCTGTGTGGGATTCGAACCCACGATCCCGGTTTCCAAGCGAGCGAAGACAGTACTAGCCTTACACCGCTCGGCTGCCGTGACCGGTGTAGACTACAATTAGGGCTGGGAAAATCTCAGAACGTGTGCCTTTTCTCTGTGGGGTGGATTGATAATTGTGATATAAAGCTAATTGTTATTAAATTGACGTACTCATAATGTTGCTCTTTCGGTAGCGGACTTGCTCCTTCTGCTCATCAATCATTTCACATTGCAGTTTCGGTCCTGGAGAGGCGCTGCAGGAAGCGCGGTGGAGAGTGCGCTCCCAAGACCCGGTGCGGCCGTCAACTTTGGGACGATCTTGCGCAGGACTGCAGTCAGAACGAAGCGTGCTGCATTCTGGTGGAATAGCATCGCATTATTCAACCTTAGGGTCTTAATACTTCATTTGCCAACAATGGAGACCGGAAAGACAAGACATCCTGATAACAAACACAGCGTAATTAACCTTTTCACTGCTGCTGGCAGCTGTGAATTAGCTAACGTTCATCTCATTTTCATTAATTTATAGTCACTGAAATATTTCATGCTTGAATACATAGACTCATTACGTTAGAAGAAGCGTACCCCTGTTTTACTAGTGAGCTAACCCGTTAGTTTCCAACGTGCGATCTAGTACCAAGGAGCTGAAAATATTCACACACAGGCCATATACACCTCCTGGCAGGAGCCTAGTTCACCTCTCACATGGAAGAATATAGCTTAGTAGGTCAATATTAGAAAACAAAGCATGATTTATAGTTTTCAGGGCGACTATATGTGATGAAGTCTTCATAACATGAAAGCCAAGATTATTTGTCACAAAGCTCTTCAATCAGCCAACAGCAGATATTGTGTTGGGATTAATTATTACAGATTTCATACAATATTGTTTATTGTAATTATGAAATCGAAGTGACAATTTAGGTAAAGAATTATCCTTATGATTTCGTTAGCATTCTAATTTCATGTCATGTTTTTCAAACAAACTCTTCGTCATATGATTAGGTAATGTATCCGTCAACACAACAAGGAAAATGGTATCACAATTAAAATCAACATCTCATAGATTAAATTTTATTATTTACCGCTACACGTTTCGGTCCTCACGGGACCATCATCAGGCAGTGTGTATAATAAGCACGATAAAGTTAATTGAAATCCCAACATGGAGCCATATTGTAGTGCAACTCGTCCCTAATGTAAATGGTGCAAAAGTTGCATAAAATTGTGCCTTATGTTATGATGAAAATTACAATATAGAAAAATATTAGAAATATTAGAGTATACAATAATTTGTATTTAAAATATTATTGGAGGGAATTAAAGGGTGTTATATATTACGAATATATGGTTTTATAATACGAATAAAGAGTTATATATTTACGAGTAATATAAATAAAAATGTTGAAGTCATTGAAAATATTTAAAATGCGTCCCAAATTTTGTGAAAATTAAAAAAATGTAATCTTTTTATGTAATATTGATGTATTTGCTACGATACTAAAATAGGTTTGTCACTTGTCTAATGAAAGCTTTTATGTTGCGGTTTCAAGGGTCTCTCTTACCAGTATGTATATGCCATTCAAATCATATCGGTGATTTTGTAAGAAACCTAACTTTGCTTCCATAATAAAAGAGTGAAAATGTGTAACAGCCTACTTCAAATTTGGAGCACGTGATTCACCGAACGTCCCATTTGCGATTCTACATCACTTAGGCTTAATGTTAATTTATTGTAAATATAAATATTCTAAGGTTTATTTATAATTCATGTAATTAAACATGGAATCCACTTATATGATCTTCTGAGGATTGAAATAATATTAACTTCTTTGAAGAATGTCGTCTTCTGGGATGTGGCGCCGTGTAGAACTTGTGTGAACCGACGTTTTGGAAGAACATATCGCCCTCGTCTTCAGAGTATAAAAATCCGCGAGCTAGGAACCAGCGTGAGCAGGTGGCTAGACATTTTCATTTTAAAGGACAATTTTTAGATCTTAGTGAATTTATGTTATGTAAAAAGTTCTACATGACAAGAGCTGATAAAATTTAATCTGAGCTTCGTTTCAGGCAGAGTATATACTTGATGGACACGATATACAACTTAAATCAGCAATTTTAGAGATGAAACAAGCGGACGTACTGACTTGAATTCATTTTGTGTAAGAGTACAAGTTTTTACGGGGGTATGAAGAAATGGAGTATGGGTCATTAAATTCGAAATCATTAAAACTAAGGAAATCAAAAGAATTTCCAAATTCTGACTCTCAGGAGGATATATTTGTGCACACCCCGCGGAAATTCGGTTAATTATCCAAGATTCAAACTCATTTAAATTCTGCGTCCTGGGGCCCTGTCTCATCCTTCATTTCGCACCGAATCGCAATTGCTTCCTTGTTCATAGAAAGATAGGAATAGCTAAGGTAACGAAGGCTATCGATAGCGCCTGAAGCAATAACCGAGGGCTGAGGATTAATGAAGACTGGGGTTATTAAGCTTACGCGAACGGAACAAAAGAAACCTCGGGCGAATCATCTGTGATTTCTGCTTGTGTCATTCTACTCCACTGTAAGTCCGCCATTAGCAGCGATGTAGTTCAGCTGCCGGAACAAGATGGCCAAGCCTTTAAATCGGCCGTGACCCAGTGGACGACACAGAGCGACTGTCTAATAAATTAATAGTCCTTTATGGCAACTTTCACTCAACTGTCCTTTGATCAAGGCACCTCCGATTGTGCGTCACTTCTCCCTCCTAAAATAATACACTGAATTACAAGACGAAGTGTTCTGTCTTCTTGTATATAATGCAGTGTAATCCGATGAAAGTCAACTGATGTTTCGGAGGAAAATTTCGCTTCCATCTTCAGTGTCTAAAACTAAGCCAAGATATGAATCTACGTGAAGCAGATGGCGAGCTCTGCTGGTGTCTTTCTAGCTTATTCTCCGACCCTGATGGTGGAGACGGCATGTTTCTCCGAAACGTCAGTTGGCTTTCAACGGAGTACACGGCATTATATCCCAAACCACTGTTGAGAGAATATCAGATCCTACAATTTACAAAATCTTTGCCGGTCAGCGAAAATTACATTTATGCGTGTTTCTGCAGGTCTGTAGCAGGCTATAGGATTACAGCATAGAACTAAATGGCTTTACGACTTCTTTACACCTACAGTAAGCTAAGAACATTCCTGTACAATGTAGAAACTTTTACGGAATATTTCACTGGCTGCAGCTACAGTTTCCAAAAGCAACTACAGGAAAACCTTGCTAATCCAAAGGGGGGAGGTCGTCCGGATTAAGTGATTTTCCCGATTATTGAAACAAATGGTAGCCCTACAGAGCCAAACTTAGAACAAAAATAAATGGAAAATTTAATGATATACTCACTGTATAATAACAATGATATCACTGTAGAACCTTTATTTAAAAAACAATAAAAAGACAATACACTTATTCTTCAATGGAAGACTAGTTAGTTAGTTAGTTAGTTATTGGAGAGGGTGGGTTTCCCCATGCACTTAGACCTGTATTGGTCCATTGTGCTTCCCTCTATGATTTCTACCAGTCTCTATATCCTACCGGTACTAGTGCTTACATCAGTCCCGCCCAGCCAGCGAGACCGGCTCTACTAGCTGAGAGGTATCTATAATGCTTCCCCCATCTACCAGAGGTATTAGAGACTACTGTTGGGCGGGAAACGTCNGCCGCTAATGGAAGACTAAGTTTTACTTGTAAGATTTGAGGCTTCTTTAAGTTGTACTTGCTTCCGAATGTAACAGTGCAGGTTTGAAGAAACTGTCAAGTTTTATTATGAACAGACAAGTGACTCATCTGCTTTCCTAAATGCCACGTGTCTTTTAAAATATGTACTTAATTGTGAATAGCATTTCTAATCTTTCATATATATATATATATATATATATCCGGATTATTCGACATTCGAATTAACGTTGTGACTTTCATAAATGTTACTTCTACTATATGTTTCGTCCTTATCATTATCAGGTACGTATTTGAACATAATTACTTCTCTGTACCGCTCTTTATACTTTATACTCTGAAACATGCTACTGGGAATCTAATTCATGTCGTTTTGCCGCCACCCGCTCTGTTTACTGGGTGAGATGTTTATATGAAATGCATTCTGCTCACACCAAAAAATTATGATTTGTTTAACTTCCCAACTAAGTGTTATAGTGTCATCGAGCATTTAGAATCCTAACATTTTTATGGGGACCAAGCGGTAGCGTAGTTGGTTGAGGCACTATACTACGAGCCGAAAGGTCACGGTTTCCTTTCCCGACGAGGGCATTGGATTTCTATCAAATTACCTAATCCTTCTAGCAGCACTATGGTCCTTGGTTCGACTCAGCCTCCAAAAGAATCTAAAGGAATCTTCTTGTGAGTAAATGGCGGTCAGTGTGTAAGGCTGAAAACCTCACCGCCAACTGTGAGCCGATTGTCTACAAAATGTGGGAGCCTTATTGTTTCACAAACCTATGGCCCTCCACGGCCTGTTACAGGGATAGTTTTACATTTTTCCTTCTTTTTTTTTTTTTTGTATTTTCATCTGGAAGTTTTGTATGTTCGAAATATTCGTATGAGAAACAGAACGAACCTAACTATTTCAGAATCGAATTACAGATACCATCCTAAGAACCCAGCTCTCCTTCTTGGCTTGATCGAAAACCGAAATTCCTACATGTAGACAAAGAAACATATGGAAATATTGAATTGCAGGAAGGCCATATTGGCTACTGGCTGCTTTTGCATCCTCTACCCTTTGCTGCTAATTTTCCTGCAATTAAATCTCATTGTAACACAACGCAAACAAACAACACCGCTGATACCATGACTGGACATGGTCTTAAGTCAGTTCATTCTAGTCCCATTCTCACAGCTAATTCCTCCAAGATGCTCCCGCCTCCTTCTACAACACTTCCATAAAAGTTTATCCATCAGAATTCTGTACACCCTCATTTTCACCCCATCCGAACTACATGTTCAACCCATCATAACTTCATAGAGTTCACTATCCTGATTATGCTAGGCGCCCTGAATAAATCATGAAATTTACGGTTAACATAGCACCTTAAATTACAGCTACCCCTTTACATCATCATCCTTCTCAGTTGAAGCAGACCTGCCTGCAGTTTAGCCTCTCCCTTCTCAACACACAAAAGCAGCGTATACAATTATTGTTTCCTGTTTCGGCCTCCATTTTCTTTTCCGTATTAGATGGAATAATAAGAGTAGGACTTACTGAATCGAATAGAAACAAGAATTCCTTAAATTTGTTCGCCTCCTGTGTGGGATTTGAGGTTTTCAAGGAGGTGACTGTTGAGATCACGGTCCTATGGGGTGAGGTGTCATGTGGTCTGACAGATCGTTACCATAACTACAGAAGGACGTGTTGCCTCCCTCTTCAGGGTAGAAGCTGAAACTAGCTTGTTCCTTAGAAAAGTTGGCACAATCTACCAGACTACAAGGCGTCACACCCCAGGAGACAGTAAGCTTCATATTATTTTCCTTCATAAACCTGGTTTCCATTTTCTGTTGACGCTTCCATATGCCTACTTACATTCAGAATCATTTCATTATATTGAGGTTTCATGAAATATTAATATATTTATTTTTATCTATGGGTACTTATAATTAATTTCTGCGATATTCGTTATAGTTTGTAGCGTAGCCGGTATAGCAACTGGCTATGGGCTGGATGACGGAGGAGTCGGAGTTCGAGTCCCAGTAGGGGCAAAATTTTTTTCTTCTCCAAGTCGTCCAGACCGCCGCTGGGGCCCACCCAGCCTCCTATCCAATGGGTACCGGGGGCTCGTTCTCCGCTGGTAAAGCTACCGAGGGTGAAGTTGACCACTCACCTCCAGCTAGCGCCCAGGTTAAGAAAATGTGGATCTATACCTCCACTCCCTCATACGCCTTCATGGTGTAGTGTTAATTAGTTAAGCACAGGGACAAATTTACCTTTTAGCTTTATTCACCTTCACTTAGGAGCCGGGGTAGATCAGTCAGTGTAACGACGGTCTACGTTCTCGACGGCCGGAGTTCGATTCCCAGTAAGGAAAGAAATTTTTCTCTACTCAACAGGGTCTAGACGCGACTATGTGGCCCACCCAGTCTCCTATTCAACAGGTACCAGGAGATGTTTCCTTGCGGGTAAAGAGGCCGGGGCGTGAAGTTCATCACTAACCTCCATCTAGTGCCGAGGTCAAGAATGATGGTGATACACCTCCGCCCCTCCGTGTGTATTCATAACACAGTGCTTAATTAATTAAGCACAGGGACGTTGCTTCTTACCTTAACTTTTCTTCGTTCTGAATTAATAGTAGGTCTATAAGCAACAAAATAGAAAGGGCCTTGATATGTCTTTTGTGCGCTGTAAGATATTTTCTAACTAAAAAAATACGAAGAGCATAAGTTGACTAAATACTTGTATACAAATTAGATATTATTTTTGGCTCGTAACCTGTGCACTGTGCTTGTAGCTTTCATTGTGTAAACTTCTGTACGAAGTTCTTAATACCGGTCAAATAAAGGATACTGGTGCTTTCTTTCGGTATAAGTCAAAATTGATGCAATCTGGCCCAAGACCCTTAACAGGCGACACATTTAATTTTATCACCAAAATATTAGGGCGAGGAATCGAGACGATTCTTGTTACGTGTCTTGTACTACGGAAACTGCCGAACTGCTGTTCGTATCACAGTGCAAGCAGAGACACGGTTAGGTGAGAAGTGGTACTATCCTCGTAATACTGGAGTCGACGTAGCACTATTAATTTGTTCGTGATGTATTGCTTTGCGAAATGGATGAGATTTGAAGTTAAAAGTGTGTAAATCTGTATTTCGTGCCATCTCATTACCGAGCGTATAAAGCTCTTTATTCAGCAAGTGGGCTTATAGACTGCTGTGCCGTCTGTTACATCATTATTTGATAAAGAGGAAACTGGAGCTGAGGTGAGTAACTTCTTGGAATGAATTCTGAGTGCTGTGTTGACCAAGAAAGGCAGACTGCCAGAGGGTTAAAGGTTCTTCACTTTATTTATTAATGTGTGGTTTATTTAACTTTGCAGTCAGTAACACAGGCTGTAGGCTTACAGCGTGAAATTATTTGTTGATTGTGAATAATAAATTGCATAGGATATGGAAGAACCTTTCAAATACGAAACAGGTGTGAAGTCCACTCAGCCACAACGTTCGGTGCTTAACTGTTTAAAAATCCACACTCACATATTACGTAATTATAAAAATGTAATAATAAACCTTCAGTGGATATTTTCGTGAAACATGTCTGGTGGGTTGTTTCCATTTAGGATCATTGTAGTGAAGATAAGAGAAACTCGACTATAAAGCCAATGTAGAAAACTTCTGTCTACGAGGCTTCTTTTTTTAGGGACGCATGAAAAATATGAGCATTTCAAATGAATTTGAATTATTTTGAATTATTTTCGTTTGAATTTTGTTAGGGACACCTGTCTGTGAAAGTTAAGTAAATGAAAATAATATCAACATAAAGCACTGTTTTGACTCTTGAAGTAGACCGTTCGGTCACCTAGCGGGAAAGCTCCGTACTATTATGTAAGTTTCCGCGGATTCTGATTGCAACGTAAGAAATTCATATGTTGACCGTTTTGCTTCTCGATAATAATTTATTAATCGCAGATTGTTTAAGGTCCTTATGTTAGTTAGTCTATGTAGCATCGGCTGATCGATGTCTGTACATCGTTTTATAATTTCTGTAACTACGTTTAGTTGGTTGAGGGGCTATGCTACAAGTCGGAAGGTCGCGGGTTCAAGTCCCGATGAGGTCATTGGATTTTTTTTCAGTTGACCTAATCCTTCCAGCCTCACTAGGCCCTGGGGTTTACTCAGCCTCTAACAGAAATGAGTACCAGGAATTAATTAAATAATTTTCCTGGGGGGTAAAGGGCGGACGGCGCGTAAGGCTGACAACCTTACCGCCATCTTTGAGCCGATTGTCTAGATAATGTGGGACCCTCAACGTCTCACAACACTATGGGCCTTCACGGCCAGGTACAGGGATAGCTTTACCTTTTTTTACTCACTTTACGTTAAAAATTTTAGAGGTTATGTTCGCTGTTCGTGATTTATTTATTCGCGCCTTCTTAATTTTTTAGGTTTCGTAGTGTTGGGTGTAACGACGACTGTTAACGATAAATGGAAGAATGTGAAGTGAAGTGGTCGTGGTCCGTTCTAAGGTAAGATTCTATTGTAACCTAAAGCATTAAAGAGAAATTTGAAAAGTCTCTCAACTAGAATCCGGGAACTGCAGAGTACACAACACGAGTATAGCGTCTAATGAGACATGAAGCTAATCACGAAGGGAATAACTCAGAAAGGGGCGTTCGGTGAGAGACTGGAAAAAAACTGGAAACATGTTTATCGGGTTAACGACTGAGATGCGGATACAAGTAGATGTGTTATACGAGAGCGTGCCTGCTTGGTACTTGGTATATATGTTCGGGTAAGATAAAGTTATCTCTGTACTTAACTAATGAAGCACTGCGCCGTGAAGACTTATAGGGGGAGAGTGGATGTATAGATCCACGTATTCTTGACCTCGGTTTTAGGTGAAGGTGAGTGGTCAGCTGCACGCTTCGGCCGTTTTATTCCATGGGAAAGAGCCCTTTTACCCAATGGATAGGAGGCTGAATGGGCCTCAGAACCAGTCTGGACGACGTGGAGAGAAGAAAAATCTTGCCTCTACTTGTACTCGAACTCCGACCCCTCGGCCGTCCAGCTCGTAGCCAGTAACCATACCGACTGCGCTAACCGGTATAAGAGTAGCTTTATGGCTAATGGAAGGAACAACTACGCATGGTCCAGTTCAAGATGTCCCAGCAATCTTTTTAAGCGACGGGCTTATACGGATACAAGTAGACGTGTTATACCTTAGCTGTCCTGCTCGGTTCTTGATGTATGTTAGGGTGAACGATGAACAAAAATACTCCGTGGCCTGTAGTCCGCAAGCAAACTATACCAACTGAGCGACCGCTGCTTGTCGACGAAGTTAGTGCCAACTTTTGCTGATATAAGGTGTAGCGTGGTCAGCGCAACGGATCCCCACGGCCGTTAATCTCGGTTTTCTAGACCGGAGCCGCTATTTCCTTGAAATAGCTCCTAAGTTATCCTCACGAGGCTGAGTGGACCCCGTTCCAGACCCACCACTACTCAGAAAATCTGGTAGCGATGAATGAGTAATGATAAAAGAAGTGGTCGTGGCATATTTGAAGATGTCTCAACATTCTTCTGAAGCGACAGACGAAGAAGCGCATGCCAAGTAGAGAGGTTATAAATGAAGCAACCTGCTCGGTGGTTGATGAATGGTACGGTGAATTGTGAATGGGTAAGGATAGGAGAGGAAATGCCCGTGGTCCAGTTTGACATGTCCCAACTTTTCTTACGAAGCGGCGGACGGAATATCCGGTTCCGAAAGCTGTATTGCAGAGCTTCGTTGCTTTCAGGCCGTCACAGATGCGGCAGGAGAGACAAACCTGTGCTTGGAGCTGCACTAAGCAGGAACAGCAACGATATCTGTTACCATACACGAGTAAGGCAAGGTCAGCTCATTCCAGATAATGTTTCACTTTTATGTAAGAGCACGCATATTGCGTTCATTCGAAACCTAGCGTCTTGGTGCTTCAAAATCTAGGGGTGTGCATTCTGTAATTAATTATTTTAAAGTGTCAGATCGGCCCCGCCCTTGCTTCTGACATTCCTGTTGTAATAACTACTAAATATTTCGCTTCGTGTCTTGGTACATTAAATAAAGATTCGTCTGTTGTATACACTAGAGCCCTTCCCTCCTTCCTTATATCCATGAGTGAAGAATGTATTTTTGTGCACCCGGTTGTACCCAATCGAGCAAATTAACTTCTGACTACATTTTTTGGAGCGCGGAAAGACAGACGAGATGTCAAGTGGTATGCTGACAGCGCCACAGTCGCAGACTCGGAGACTTACGCGCGTTGTCACATGTTCACTAGCAGCAACACAAAAGAACAATTAATTTCGGTCACCGCTCTTCAATTTTCTCTTCCATCTCCTACCTCTTTTGTGTCAAAACTCATTCTCCATTTTTTATTCCTATGTTTGTTTCTACCTCTCTCTGTCTTACCAAAGCTTGGAGTTTCGGCCCGGGCATGTAATCAGCCGCTACACCCCAGGCACAACTCAGCTAGCTCTGGGATTTTGTGTGTGTATGGGTGGGTGGGGTGAAAATTGCTCCAGGAGCACCTGAATATTCTGCTGACGTTGAAGGTGCCGCAAGATACAGCAGTGATGTCTACCCCGTCAGGTGCACAATGGTGACCTCTGCACAAGACTTAACTGATTTTGCAATAATCTTTCATTCACACAAAGCTGCAGCGCTGGGCCAAGATGTCTTCCTGTCCTACAGTATTAGTCACGTAAGATCAACGGTACGAGAAAATACTTCACATTTCCCGTTTATGTTGGCTACATTCTGTGATATACCTTATATTAAAATTATTTCGTACAATGTTCACTCTTTCTTCCTGGCGTACAAACCGTTTCAGAGCTTCAAAGCGATCTAAGTACACCGCTGTTTAGTTGATCGCCAAATATTGTATCAGTAAGCGGAAGAATATTGATTAGAGTTTTGTATTCATACTGCATAGTGAGGAGCTTCATAACTTGTACTCTTCGCCAAGTATAGTTAAAATGATCAAGTCAAGGAGGATGAGATGGGCAGGGCATGTAGCACGAATGGGGAAGAAGAGTAATGCATATAGGACATTTGTTGGGAAGCCAGCAGGGAAGAGACCACAGGGAAGAACAAGACGTAGGTGGGTGGACAATATTAAAATGGATCTTAGTGAAATAGAATGGGATGGTATGGATTGGATTGGTGTGGCTCAGGATAGGGACTAGAGGAGGACTCTTGTGAACATGGTAATGAACCTTCGGCTTCCATAAAATACTACACAATTGGCAGCTTCTCAAGAGGGCTCAGCTCCATGAGTGAATTATGTGTATTCATATGCAGAATATATCGCTGTGTGGCCTGGTGGATATGTATTGTCATGTTGGAGGCATGTACTGCCTCCATCTTCAGTCTGGAAGAGTAAACCAAGCGCTGAGAAAGCGGCATGAACATGCAGAGAGGAAATACAGGAACGGGAGCTGAGTGAAGCGACATGAATACGGTGAAACGCATAGTAGTACGTATTTCCTGCTGAAATTTCAACGGGGTTGTTGTTTGTATTCATAAAATTGCCGCAGTAAGAAAGGAAATATTTTAGAAACGATAATGTTTCCGCCACAAAGACGTATATGGAACGCAGGCATAACCTCACACACAAATCTGAGTAAACTCAATGCCAATATCAAACTCCATGAAAGCGGCCTCCGTAGTCTAGAGGTAACGTTCCCACCTCATGACTCGTAGTACGCGGGTTCAAATACCCGGCGGAGGTCGTCGAATTTTTAAGGGCGGAAAAATTCAGGGAACAAGTCCTCCGGGAGGGACTTAAACCGTGGGTCCCGTGTCGTAGCTTTACGGCACGTAAAAGAACCTCATATCTCCAAAGGAGGTCACTGAGCCAAATTACGGACGTTTCCCGCCCAACTGCAGTCTCTAATACCTCCGGTAGATGGGGGAAGCATTATAGATACCTCTCAGCTAGTAGAGCCGGTCTCGCTGGCTGGGCGGGACTGATGTAAGCACTAGTACCGGTAGGATATAGAGACTGGTAGAAATCATAGAGGGAAGCACAATGAACCAATACAGGTCTAAGTGCATGGGGAAACCCACCCTCTCCAATAACTAACTAACTAACTAACTAACTAACTAAACTCCATGAAAATCCATTCGGGGATTCGGGATATACTCTAAGGGACAACAGAGAGATGGTCCGTACCTCGAATTGTAGAGAGTAACCGGGTGGAATCATGAAACACGCATTCTTATCCGCTTTCTCTATATGTAGATCAATCTTAGGTCCGTTTTTTCAGGTAAAATAGTTCAGTTAGGCCTACACGAAATTCACCCCTCTTCTTACTTTGCCGCATTCAGTGTAAACCACTTTGTTGAAGCGTGACAGCGAGTGTTCCGAAAGTGGCCTACAAAGAAGAACATTTGGACCTAAAGAGATCTGCGCCGGTCACGGTAGCCGAGCGGTCTAAGGCATGAACTGTCTTCGTTCGCTCGGATCGTGGGTTCGAATCCCACACAATGCATGAATGTTTGGTATGTGTATGTGTTTATTCTGTGTTTAGGTAGAGGTCTTGCGACGAACTGATCACTAGTCCAAGGAGTCCTACCGTCTGTAATATTAACATGTTTGGCGAAGTATAAAAGAAAATAATTTATGATTCGACGCAGCGTATGATTAACATTTTCGCAATATATTTGTATCTCCATTAAATTAATATCACCAACTGGATATTCAGAACCGTGTAAAATACATAATTATATACATAATAGGATACGTTTTATGATTGTTAGTGTACTTCTTTTGGTTTGTTTTGGACTTCATCCATCGTCTGGTATGTAAAAGACAAAAGACCACGACGTTTTGGAGTCCAGTGATTGAGACTAGCTCTTTCTAACGGGCCTAACTGAGTAGGTTTATCCTTCCCCATCCACCTGAAAACGGAGACAGATCCAGTCTACGAAACGTCGTGGTCTTTTGTCTTTTACATACCAGACGATGGACGAAGTCCAAAACAAGCCAAAAGAAGTACAGTATACACCATCGTCAGAATCCTTTCAAGTCCATAGTCTAACTGCTTACTTTTCGGCCCACTTTAACCTAATCGGAGCAAGTATCCACTGCTGTGAAGGAAAAAATATGTAATTTTCTGACACGGATTTTATTAGCTCAGCATCCGTAATGCATACGGGTTATGTCCCATAGCTCGGCTGTGGTAATTCTGAATTATTCTCGGGAGACACCAGATTCAAATCTTGGCCAGGTGGCCGTCTGCCTTTACTCAGATTTTTGCGGTTTTCCTCCAGACCGAGATAGACTACAGACCGCTTCGTGCCACTTTGCACTTATTTCATGATTGACAGTTTCTCTACTATAAATTATTTCAGGGTATGTGTATAATTTCTGCCGGTCACGGTAGCCGAGCGGTCTAAGGCATATACTGTTTTCGCTCGCTTGGAAACCAGGATCTTGGGTTCGAATCCCACTCAGGGCATGGATGTTTAGTTTGTGTGTGTGCATTT